TTTTTTTTTTTTTTTCTTTTTTTTGTTTGCCTGCACTCGATGCGTTTCTTGCTGTCTCCATCCTCTTTTCTTTTTTTTGTCGCCGAAAAACAAAATGCAGTTCAAGCCACAGTAAAAACAATGCCTGCTGCTGCTTCTCCTGCTGCTGCTGCTGCAGCAGGTGCTGCTGCTGCTGCTGCTGCCCGCTGCAGAGGTTGTAGGGGGGGGGCTCGAATGAGTATGTCTCTTTTTCTGCTGTTTGCTGCAGCAGCAGCAACAACAACAACAGCTGCAGCAGCAACAATGACAGCAGCAGCAGCAGCAGCAGCAGCAGCAGCAGCAACAGCAGCAGCAGCAGCAGCAGCAGCAGAATTTGGGGGTCAAAGCACCGTCGCTATCCATCCGTCTGTGTTTGCTTCCTCTTCTTCTCCGTTTGCTTCTGGTTTGTCTGCTAGTAATTTAAATTCTGCTGCTGAGCTGCGCATGCAGCAGCAGCAGCAGCAGCAGCAGGACGGGGGGTTGCTTGAGCTGCAGCAGGAGGTGCAGCAACAGCAGCAACGGCGTAGGTTGCTGCAGCAGCAGCAGCAGCAGCAGAAAGGCCTATTGTTTCAAATAGGTGTTGCTGCTGCGGTTTGTGCTGCTGCTGTATTTCTTATTCTTCGTTGTTATAATCATCTGCTGCAGCAGCAGCAGCAGCAATCTGCTTCTCTCTCTTTCTCTCGCTCGCTAGCTGGTATAGAAGACAGTGCATGCAGAGAAGAAGAAGAAGAAGAAGAAGAAGAAGAGAGAGGAGCAGCAGCAGCAGCAGCACCAGCACCAGCAGCAGCAGCGGCAGCAGCAGCAGCACCAGCAGCAGCACCAGCACCAGCAGCAGCAGCAGAACCAGCACCAGCGGCAGCAGCAGGAGCAGCACCAGCAGCAGCAGCAAGAAGAAGAGGACAAGAACCTATGCCCACAGCAGCAGAAGCAACAGCAGCAGCAGCAGCAACTCTAGACCGCATGATAGAGTTGATGGACGAAACTATAAAAACATTTAATTTAATAGAAAAAAGCAGCAGAGGAGTTTTGTTATCTTTGCTTGTTGCTTTTTATATACAAGAGTTAGTTGTTTTGGGTGTATATACAGATGAATCTATAGAAAAGAAAAGAATAGATACACTAGAATACCTGCTGCAGCAGAGCCGTAAGCTGCTGCAGCAGGTAGAGAAAGAAGAAGAAAGAAAACCAGAAACAACAGCAACAGTAGATAGAACGAGAGAGATGTTGCTGCTGATGATAAAAGTAAAAGAAACACCGAAGACAGGGAGAGAGGATCTGAATACACCGAGAATAAAAGAAGAAACAGAAATAATAAATATATGTATAGATGCATGCATGCATGCACTGAAACGCATGCAACAGTATACACCTCCATCTATATCGATGCAGAAAGATGTTTCTTATTCTCTTCGTCATATTTTTTCTTTTTCTCGGCATCATAGAAGAAGAAAACTAGAAACAGATAGAAGAATTGTAGATTATATTGAACAAATACAAAAAGGAGACAGAAAATATTGTCTCCTTCACCAACAAAAAAAAGAAGAACAAATCAAATCACCGCCAGCTATCTCACACAACAAAGCAGCAAAAATGTTAAAAAAAAGATTCTCAGGTTTACAAAGAAGGATGGAGCTGTCGATAGAGGGAAAGAGACAAAGACAAGTAAAAAGACAGCAGCAGGGGCAGCAGCAAGAAGAAGGAGAGGAAGAAGAAGAGGAGTGGGAGGAGGAAGAAGAGGAGGAGGAGGAGGAAGAAGAGCAGCAGCAGCAGCAGCAGCAGCAGCAGCAGCAGCAGCAGCACCGGCAGCAGGAAGAAAGGTGGGGGCGCTGGCAGCAGCATCCAAGGCAGCAACAGCAGCAATATAGACAGCAACACTGGCATTACCCGCAGCAGCAGCAGCAGCAGCAGCAGCAGCAGCAGCAGCAGGGGAGATGGCAGCAATGGGGGCCTCGACAACCACCACGCTGGCAGCAGCAGCAGCAGCAGCAGCAGCAGCACCACCACCACCACCACCACCACCACCAGCACCACCACCAGCAGCAGCAGCACCACCACCAGCAGCAGCAGCAGCAGCAGCACCACCACCACCAGCAGCAGCAGCAGCAGCAGCAGCACCACCACCACCACCACCACCACCAGCAGTACCAGCAGCACCAGCAGCAGCAGCAGCAGCAGCAGCAGCGCCAGCTGCCGAAGAGATGGGAAGACGCTCCGCCACGGCTGCAGCGCTACTGGGCCGAGAAGCAGCAACAGCAAGAGCAGCAGCAGCAGCAGCAGCAGCAGCAGCAGCAGTACATGGTGCAGCAACAGCAGCAACAGCAACAACAGCAGCAGGAGCAGCAGCAGCAGCAACAACAACTGCAGCAGCAGCAGTCACTAGAAGTCCAACAGCAAATTTCTTCTTCTTCTCCTCCTCAGATGCTGTCTCATCTTGGTGCTGCTGCTGAAGAAGGAGGATACGACCTCTCGCCCTATTCGGGTCTATTTCCTATTGACTATGTGGCAGCAGCAGCAGCAGCAGCAGCAGAAGCAGCAGCAGAAGCAGCAGCAGAAGCAGCAGCAGGAGCAGCAGCAGAAGCAGCACCAGAAGCAGCAGCAGCAGCTGAGGCTGCAGCTGCTGACAGGCCAGATTCTGCCGGTGTATCGGAGCCGCATACCCCTCCTAATGGGCTCTCTATATCGCTAGCTAGCCAGCTAGCTAGCGATGCAGATAGCCAGCTAGCTAGCGAGCTAGCTAGCGAGCTAGCTAGCCAGCTAGCTATCTCTTCATCTGCTCCAACGACGCCTGATGAAACCCCTGATGTGCATCCGCTAGCTCGTCTGCTAGCTAGCCAGATAACTGAGCAGCTAGCTAGCCGGCTAACTGCCCAGCTAGCTGCTGCTCCTTCTTCTGCTCCCCCACAGCAACAAGAAGGAACAACAAGAAGAAGAAGGCACCCCCTGCCTCCTCGTTTTGTGCGCCAGCAACAGAGCCTCTGGGCTGCTGCAGGAGCCTCACTTGACCCCTCACTGCAGCAGCAGCAACCGCAGCAGCAACGGCAGCAGCAGCTGCTGCAGCAGCTGCAGGAAGTGCAACAACTGCAGCAGGAGATCCAGGGCATTCACCGGCAGCGGGAGCAGCAGCAGGAACAGCAGCAACATCTGCAGCACCACCAGCGCCACCACCATCAGATGTTGCAGCAACTGCCCCATCAGCAGCAGCAGCAACAGCAGCAGCAGCAACAGCAGCAGCAGCAGCAGCAGCAGCAGCAAGAGTTGCTGCAGAGGCGTCCTGGCGTCCGACCCCCCCCAGGGTTTGAGCATCTACCACCACCACATCAGCAGCAACAGCAGCAGCAGCAGCAGCAGCAACAGCAGTATGGCCAGCACCATCGCTATCCTCACCCTCCTCGTCAGCAGCAGCACCATCGTGCTGCTCACCACCAGCAGCATTCTCATTATCATCCTCAGCAGCAGCAGCAGCAGCATCGGCAGCAGCAGTACCAGTACTATCATCAGCAGCAACAGAAGCAGCAACAGCAGCAGCAGCAGCATCGTTATAAAACTGAAACATGGGGGCTGCCGTTTGCTGCTGGCGATACTGCTGAGGGGGAAGACAGTCCTTCGGGTGTCTCATCACCTCTGTCTCCTTCTTCTCCTGCAGAAGCAGCAGCAAGAAGTGGACTGGCGGTTGCTGCTGCTGCTGCTGCAGCTTCTGCTTATTCTCCTTTTACTGGTGCAGCACCACACCGACCTCGCGCTACTCCTGATCCTTTCTACTCGCCTCGTCCTCTCTTCCCTCCTCGACAACACCCCCCAGATGCGGCAGCAGCAGCAGCAGCAGCAGCAGCAGCAGCAGCAGCAGAAGGAGAAGGGATTTGGAGAAGCATCTCCTCCCCCCCTTCAAGTGCAGCACCAGGGCGCAGCAGCCGCTCCTCAGTGTTTAGGGGTGTAGAGAGCGGGATGCCTCGGCCTCCGCCGACGCCAGAACCCTCCTTTCCTTTTGCTGCTGCTGATGATGAACAGCAGCAGCAGCTGCAGCTGCTGCAGCAGCAGGTGCAGCCACAGTTTGGCCCTCTCGGGAGCTCTTGGGGACAGCCTGGAGGCTGGGGAGGTGATGGCAGAAGCAGCAGCAGCGGCGGAAGCGGAAGCAGCAGCAGCAGCAGCAGCAGCAGAAGCGGCAGCAGCAGCAGCAGCAGACCTTAAATGCATATGTTTGATTGAGCAGAAACGGCAGCAGCAGCAGCATCAATGATATTCGGATGTTATAGATATGAAATTGTTTAATGTGGTGACCTTTTGTGTTTATCTCTGTCTTCGTTCCGTCGTTGCTGCATATTAGGGTTTAGGCATACATGTATCTGTGGCTGTAGCTGCAGCAGCTGGGGTTGCTGCTGCTGCTGCTGCTGCAGCAGCAACTGGGCTTGTTGCTGCTGCGGCAGCAACTGCTCCTTCTGCTGCGGCAAACGCCGCTCCCCAGACACCAAGGTGTTTGCGACAAATATCAGCAGGCGCTGCAGCACCTGCTGCACCAGCTGATACAGCACCTGCTGCTGCAGCACCTGCTGGTGTATATATATATATATATATATATATATATATATATATATATATATATATATAT